GAGAAGGAGGGGGAAATTGCCCTGAGAGTAGCAATCTGTAGACAGAAGGAATGACACTTAACAGGAGAGAGAAGGTGCTGACCTCACTATCCTAATTGTCTTTTTGCTGCCTCCTGCAGGGTCTTCTTCTCTTCTTCTTTGTACCCATGGGCAGGGCTATTTTTGGGCAGGAACGCACAGGAACGGAGTTCCGGCTGGCTCCCGAGTTGGCCACACCCAGCAGGAACTCATTAGCATAATAGGCCACACCCAACAGCAGAAACTCATTAGGACTGGCTACATTAGGGGTGTGTGGCCTAACATGCAAAGGAGTTCCTGCTATAAAAAAGCTCTGGGTTTTGACAACAAATAAGGTAAACAGAATAAGAAGCAAAAGGTGAGTGTGTATGGATGACCACACTTCTGCGAACATGGTGTGTGTGGCCTAATATGCTAATGAGCTGTGCTGTCAGGGGTGTGTCCTAATAAGCAAATGAGTTTCTGCTGTTGGGTGTGGCCTATTATGCTAATGAGTTCCTGCTGGAACTACAAAAAAAGCCCTGCCCATGGGTCATTTCCTGCCGGAGCACAGCGGAGCGGCATTCCAGCAGTAAGGAGCCTGGGGTGCCACCCACCCCACCCCGCCTCCATTCCTGGCCTGCCTGCACAGAAAAATGGGCCAGGGAAGCCCTGCAGAGCCCCCCGCTGCCTGTGGGGATTTGAATGCCTTTTTTCCCCTTCCCCAGATGGGGAAGGGAGAGACAGGCATTCTACAGATGCCTGGGTTCCCTGCCCAATGTTCTCTCCCTGGAGGCACCTGGAGAACATTGGGCAGGGAATGCAGGCTTGTCTGCCTCCCTGCCCTCCTCTCCCCAGACATTTCCTTTTCCTTCTTTTGTCTAGTGTACAAAAGAAGAAGAAGAAGAAGAGATTGGATTTATACCCGCCCTTCACTCGGAGTCTCAGAGTGGCTTACAAACTCCTTTCCCTTTCCCTTCTCCTACTCACAACAGACACCCGGTGAGGTAGGTGGGACTGAGAGAGCTCTGAGAGAACTAAACCGCTCTGAGAGAACTACAGCTTGCCCAAGGTCATCTAACAGCTGCAAGTGGAGATTAATCTTCTTAAGCAGATTTCCCAACAAGATCAACACAGCTGCGTGAGAAGGAGTGGCTGGCTAAGAAGGACTGTGATAGAATCTGATAGAATTACAAATGACACAGTGAAAGTGAACGGAGGGAACTTTTTCTCCTTCTCTAGGAACACTAGAACTCAGGGTCACTCAATGCGACAGAAGACTTGGGACAGACAGAAGAAAATACTACTTCATGAATTGGTTTGATGACATGGAATTCCCTGCTGCAAGGTATGATAGCGGTCCCCAGTTTCCATGATTTTGAAAACTTTGAAACAAACAGATGGACGAATTGTGACATAGGCAAACACCAGAGGAAGACTCTTACCTTCTGGCTGACCCTGCTGGAAAAAGATGCTGAACTAGATGGACATTTAGAAGCATAGAATCATAGAGTTGGAAGGGACCTCCAGGGTCATCTAGTCCAACCCCCTGTACAAGGCAGGAAATTCACAAATACCTCCCACTCCACACCCTCAGTGACCCCTGCTCCATGTGCAGAAGAGGGCAAAAAAAAAAAAAAACCTCCAGGATCCCAGCATATCGATCACATGAAGACAGAAAGTGACAGCCACCTTCAAGTACTTGAAGGGCTGTCACATAGAAGATGGTGCGGAGTTGTTTTCTGTTGCCCCAGAAGGTCGGACCAGAACCAAGGGGTTGGAATTAAACCAAAAGAGTTTTCGGTTGACCATTAGGAAGAATTTTCAGACAGTTAGAGCACTTCCTCAGTGGAACAGGCTTCTTCGGGAGGTGGTGGGCTCTCCTTCTTTGGAGGTTTTCAAACAGGGGCTAGGTGGCTGTCTGACAGCAATGCTGATTCTGTGAACGTAGGCAGATCATGAGAGGGAGGGCAGGAAGGGTTGCCTCAGTGCTTGGTTCTTGTGGCCCTTTCTTACCTGCCCAGGGAAATGCTGCTTGCCACTTTGGGGTCAGGAAGCTATTTTTCTCCAGGTCAGACTGGCCCAGGGATCCTGGAGGTTTTTTGTCATCTTCTGGGCATGCAGCAGGGGTCACCGGGTGTGGGGAGGTATCCGTGAATCTCCTGCATTGTGCAGGGAGCTGGACTAGACGGCCCTTGAGGTCCCTTCCAGCTCTATATTTCTATGGTACACAGAAGCCAAATCTTACAACTAGTGCCCCTCTTAGATTTGCCCGATCACCCTGAAAGCGTAAGTGGCTCCCAGAATACGCACGGAAGGGAGGGTGCCTCACCTGGTTGTCCACCTTGAGCTCGGACAGTGTCGTGTTCTGCTTCATGGCTTTGATTACTTCCATCATCCCGGCGCTGGTGATGAAGTTGGATTCAATGTTGAGGGTTTGGAGGGTCTTGTTCTCCTTCAGCATCTCAGCCACTGCCTGGGGGGGAAAAATAGCCAACAGCTAACGGCAAAGATTGCCCATTAAAAAAAAAAAAGGAAGCCCTTCTTCACCCAACGAGTCATGAACACGTGGAACTCACTGCTGCAAGAAGTGGTGGCGGCTAAAAGCACAGACAATTTCAGGAGGGGGTTGGAGAAACATCTGGAGCAGATAGTCCATCAGTGCCTATTAGCCACAAGGTCTAGAGGGAACACTCTGTCTGGGGCAGGGATGCTCTGTTTTCTTGGTGCCTGGGGGGCAACAGTGGGAGGGCTTCTGGAGTTCTGGCCCCACTGCTGTGCACTGCTGTGCCTCCTGATGGCACCTGGTCTTTTTGGCCACTGTGTAACACAGAGTGTGGGACTGGATGGGCCATCGGCCTCATCCAACATGGGCTTCTCTTATGTTCTTATGTCTTGGGCAAGTGATGCTCTGTCTTCTTGGTGGTTGGGGGGGGCAAGAGTGGGAGAGCTCCTGGAGTTCTGGCCCCACTGCTGGACAGAGTGTAGGACTGGAGGGGCCATTAGCCTGATCCAGCATTGGCTTCTCTTGGGTTCTTACGTCTGGGGCAAGTGATGCTCTGTCTTCTTGGTGGTTGGGGGGGGGGCAAGAGTGGGAGAGCTCCTGGAGTTCTGGCCCCACTGCTGGACAGAGTGTAGGACTGGATGGGCCATCGGCCTGATCCAGCATGGCTTTTCTTTTGTTCTTATGTCTGCGGCAAGTGATGCTCTGTCTTCTTGGTGGTTGGGGGGGGGGCAAGAGTGGGAGAGCTCCTGGAGTTCTGGCCCCACTGCTGGACAGAGTGTAGGACTGGATGGGCCATCGGCCTGATCCAGCATGGCTTTTCTTTTGTTCTTATGTCTGCGGCAAGTGATGCTCTGTCTTCTTGGTGGTTGGGGGGGGGGCAAGAGTGGGAGAGCTCCTGGAGTTCTGGCCCCACTGCTGGACCTCCTGATGGCACCTGGTATTTTTGGCCACTGTGTGACACAGAGTGTTAGACTGGGTGGGCCGGTGGCCTGATCCAACATTGGATTCTCTCATGTTCTTAACTCTTGTATCCTCATAGCTGATTGTGACTTGGCCCCAGTGGGGCTAGAACCAGGTGCTCTTGAATCTGGAGCCCGTACCACGGAAGGGCCATGTTAACCTTGACCTTTCCTGTTCCAGTCGTGGGATCTCCCTGTCTCCCTTCCTCCTCGCCAGCTGTTTGTCGGACTCAGGCCCTAGACCAAGGTACCAAACTTCCCCAAGGAGTCTGCAGGTAATTTTTTGTCGACCGAAGAGCTACATACATGTGCCACTGGATCGTTGCTCCGGGTGGCCACCAGACTGAGCCTCTTCACTTGAGTGTTGGATTTCATGGCTTCGCAGATTTCTTTCAGGGTGTGGATGGGAATGTCCTGTCAGAAGGAAGAGGGGGAGGGGACACTTCTTAAAGTTCTGAAACACCAGTTCTCCACCAAGGGCTAATAAACTGAAGCTTAAGCCCAACAAGAGTTTGGTGCTACTGGTAAGTGGAAGGATTGACTCTAGAACTGCGGTATCTCCGTTTCTGGATGGCGTTGCACTTTCCTAAAAGAGCACATTCACCAGCTGGGGGTCCTGCTAGATTTGGGCCTCCTGTTGGATAGGCAGGTGGCACTTATGGCGAAGTGCACCTTCTTTGGCTGGGGAACCCTTTCCTGGTTTAAAAACAGATCTTGCCAAGTGGTACATGCCCCGGTAACATCAAGGTTAGACTACTGTGACGCTCTTTCTGTGGGGCTGCCCTTGAAGACTGTCTGGAAACCGACAATTGTTACAGAATGCCGCAGCAAGAACGCTGACTAGAGTGAGTCATATGGACCAAATCACTCTGGCCTTGGTCCCTGACAGCCCCTCTGTTATGTATTAGAGCTGGAACATTCCAGGACTGTTTACCAGAGACTGGCTGAGCTTGGAGCTCTAGAACAATAGCCCACCAGGACTCTGGAGGTGACCAATGAGGAACTAATGTTATGTAAATAGCCTATTGTTGGGAGTTGTGTGTGTTTGTGTGTGGTTTTTGCATGCTATTTAAACAAGGCTCTTGCCCTGAGGCTTCGGTCTTATTCCTGAAATCACTTAATAAAGTAGAGCTGTTTCACTGCAATGCCCAGTATTTAATACCCGCCTTCCTGTTTATATTTTTAATTGCTGTTCTATAGACAGGTTTTCAAAACTTGTTTTTCCTTGTCTTTTTAATCGTTTGCCTCCTTCCGGGCCCTGATTGGGTGGAAAGTTGGGATTAGAGTTCTCCAAATTAATACTCTGAGCAATCAGTTTTTAAAGCTGCAGATACCAGTGGCTATCACAGCAAACCTGGAGGTTTCATCCGTCTCCAGGGTCTCTTTGTAATCCAATCGGAGACACCAACCTTAATATTATTAAGGTTAACTTCTTCAAGATCCTTGTCGTTACTCTGTATTTTCTTCAACGTCTCGTCCACGTCGGTGGGGTTGGGGGGCTCGTCCGGGACTGGCTTGTATTTATCTGGCTGCACCACGCCTGCGAGAGGGGGACGCATCAATGAAATGGTTGCAGGGGAAAGAGAGGCCGCGCTCATCGTTTGCTGCTCTGATGTAGACCTTTGACAAAAACGTACTTCTGCTTCACTGTCCCAGGGCCCTATCTGCATTCAGTATCACAGTGGTGGCCAAAGAAGAGATTGGATTTATACCCCACCCTTCACTCGGAGTTTCAGAGCGGCTCACAAACTCCTTTCCCTTCCCCTCCCCACAACAGGCACCCTGTGGGGTAGGCGGGGCTGAGAGAGCTCTTGACAGAAACTGCTCTTGAGAGAACAGCTCTGAGAGAACTGTGACTGGCCCAAGGTAACCCAGCTGGCTACATGTGAAGGAGGGGGGAATCAAACCCAATTCTCCAGATTAGAGTCCACCGCTTTTAATAGAGTGGAAGAAGAAGATGAAGAGGAGGAAGAGGAGATTGGATTTATACCCTGCCCTTCACTCGCAGTCTCAGAGCGGCTCACAAACTCCTTTCCCTTCCCCTCCCCACAACAGGCACCCTGTGGGGTAGGCGGGGCTGAGAGAGCTCTTGACAGAAACTGCTCTTGAGAGAACAGCTCTGAGAGAACTGTGACTGGCCCAAGGTAACCCAGCTGGCTACATGTGGAGGAGGAGTGGGGAATCAAACCCGGTTCTCCAGATTAGAGTCCACTGCTCTTAGTAGAGTGGAAGAAGAAGAGGAGGAGGAGATTGGATTTATACCCTACCCTTCACTTGGAGTCTCAGAGCAGCCTACAATCTCCTTCCCTTCCCCTCCCCACAACAGACATCCTATGAGGCAGGTGGGGCTGAGAGAGCTCTTTCCAGAACTGCCCTTGAGAGAACAGCTCTGAGAGAACTTGTGACTGACCCAAGGTCACCCCGCTGGCTGCATGTGAAGGAACAGGGAATCACACCTGGATCTCCCAGATTAGAGTCCGCCGCTCTTAACCACGACACCAAACTCGCTTTCAAAAGAAACTGTGCTAAAATTACACACGTCGTCTCCACCGTGGACTCTCTTAAGTACCATAAGGCAGGCAAGTGCTTTCCGTCTTCGGTCCTTCCCCACGTACAGAGCAGAAAGCAGTGGGCCTCTGTGACTGCCCCCCCACCCCCACCATCACGGCCGCCCGAATCAGGGCTCACTCACTGTTGATGCCTTCTGTGTTGGAGATGTTGCCGCTGCAGATGGCGTCGTAGTACTGCTTGTTGCTCATCAGAGTGTACATGCCCAGGATGGCTGCAAGGAAGCACATGCGGACACATGGAGATGCATGACACTCAGTCAGACCCTTGGGGTCCATCAAGGTCAGTGTTGCCTACTCAGACCGGCAGCCGCTCTCCAGGGTCTCAGACAGAGGTCTTTCCCATCACCTCCTGCCTGGTCCTTTTAACTGGAGATGCTGCCAGGGACTGAACCAGGGACCTCCTGCATGCCAAGCAGAGGCTCTGCCACTGAGCCACGGCCCCTCTTTACAGCTCTCCAGGGTCTCAGGCGGAGGTCTTTCCCATCACCTCCTGCCTGGTCCTTTTAACTGGAGATGCTGCCGGGTACTGAACCTGAGACCTTCTGCGTGCCAAGCAGATGCTCTTCCACTGAGCCACAGCCCCTCTTTACAGCTCTCCAGGGTTTCAGGCAGTGGTCTTTCCCATGAGAAGAGCCTCAGAAGAGCCCTACTGCGTCAGACCAGTGAGAGTCCATCTAGTCCAGCATCCTGTCTCACTCAGTGGCCAACCAGTTCCTCTGGAGGACAAACAACGGGGCAGAGAGGCTGAGGCCTTCATAAGAACCTCAGAAGAGCCCTGCTGGGTCAGACCAGTGAGCATCCATCTAGTCAGGCATCCTGTCTTACACAGTGGCCACCCAGTTCCTCTGGAGGGCCAACAACAGGGCAGAGAGGCTGAGGCCTTCCCCTGGGAGGAACCTCAGAAGAGCCCTGCTGGGTCAGACCAGTGAGGGTCCATCCAGTCCAGCCTCCCGTCTCACACAGGGGCCAGCCAGTTCCTCTGGAGGGCGAACAACAGGGCAGAGAGGCTGAGGCCTTCCCCTGAGGAGAACATCAGAAAAGCCCTGCTGGATCAGACCAGCAACCCATCTAGTCCAGCATCCTGTCCCACACAGTGGCCAACCAGTTCCTCTGGACAGCAAACAACAGGGCATTGAGGCTGAGGCCTTCCCCTGATGTTGCCTTCTGGCTCTTGGATTCAGGGGTTGACTGCCTCTGTATGTGGAAGTTCCCCTCAGTCTCAGTGGCTAATGGCCATTGATAGACTTTCCCTCCACCTATCAAATCCCCACTTAAAGCTATATATTCTTGGGGCCATCAATGAATCCTCTGTAGTCTGGAAATCAGTTGTGATTCTGGGAGCTCTCCAGGCCCCGCCTGGAGGGTGGCAACAAGTGTTCCCTCTAAGCTGAGTTAGTGTGAGCTAGCTCATAGTTTTTAAGCTTCCAGCTCACACATTTTTGTCTTTGCTCAGGAAGGATGGCTCCAGAGCAAACTAATTGGTGCAGTAGCCAGATCCCTCGCTCACAACTTTCATGCCAGTCGCTCACAAAGGAGAATTTTTGCTCACAAGACTCCAGAGCTTAGAGGAAACATTGGTGGCAACCTATAGAAGGCCATCCTTTACAGGGATCTGGTTCCTCAGGGGCCTATTTCTCCCACTGGCTAAGCCTGTTTTCCACGCCAGGCCTGCCTCGGCCACGACCGGCTCTGATTCCCAGAGCTCAGCAGGGAGCAGAGAAGGAGGGTTGGCCAAGCACCAGACAGAAGCTAAAATCAGAAACTTGAGGCTCGCTCCTGGCCTATCGGTTTACACCTGCCAGGGAACCACTCTGGCAATAAAAATAGGTGGGGCATCGGAGGGGAGGTGTCATCAAGGGACTTTCTGGCTTGCAGGCAACATGGGGTAACTTGCCCTCATGCACTTAACCCCTGGAACAAGGACTGCCCGCCCCCCCCCCGAAAATTAAGTCATTCAAGGCTTCTAAAAACCTGCTCACCAAAGAGGCTTCCCTGTTGCTTCTCTGCATGATTTACCGTTCTGGCCTGGCCTTCTTCCAATCAGCTTCCACAAGCAGCGGGTAATTCTGCCCTCCCTTGGGTGGGATCGCATCATCTTTTGAAGCTGTTTGTTTTATGCTGAGCTTTTAATATTTATGTTTTTATATATTTAAAACATTTTTGTGCCACCTTTCCACCCACTCAGGGTCCCCAAGGGAGCAAACAGAGATGAGCACCACAACCCTAGAGTCGGACTCGACTGGCTTTCGAGCAAGGGAACCTTTACCTTTACCTTTTTCTAATTGTTACCTGCCCCAACATGGCTTCCCTTATGTTCTTATGTGCCCTGTGAGTTTTCCCACTCTTTTTTACCTGGCTTGTCCAGGGGGCGTGAATGTATCTCGTAGCAGTGAATTCCACAAGTTCTATGAGCAAAGCACTTCCTTGTGTCTGTCCTGATTCCTGAATCCATAACCCAGGGGGTCTGGCGCCCCTCCCCGCTGTCTTCCGCATCACACATACGCCCCCCCCCCCAATTCGCCCCGTCTCTTGGATGGTTCTTTACCAGCAATGTCACACATCTCTGCATCGGTGGCATTCTTTAAGGCCTCTTCTAGTTCGGGTTCCAGTGTGATCTGCTCTTCTTTCGGGATCTCTCGCTTGGGATTCTTTGGAATGAAGGGTTTCCCTGCCGCCAGGAGACACAAGAACAGAAATCAGCATCAGACCAGCAAAGGAGACCTGATAGCAAAAGGTGGGCATGGGCCAGTTTTAGAATCACATAATCATAGAGAGTGTGAAGGGGCCCTACAGAGACCATCTAGTCCAACCCCCTGCCCAATGCAGGACCAGCCTAAAGCATCCCTGACAAATATTCGTCCAGCCTCTTCTTGAAAGCTGCCAACCGGACCTTGCCCTCCTCCAAATGACAGCCTTTCAAATATTTAAAGAGAGCAATCACAGAATCATAGAATGTTAGAGTTGGAAGGGACCTTGCAGGTCATCTAGTCCAACCCCCTGCACTCTGCAGGAGCATAGCCGAAAGAGAACCCTACATACCTACAATATACCCGAAAGATGGGAGCACATCCAGCCTGTGCTTAGGCAACGGCACTGGCTGCCAATAGCATACTGGATTCGCTTCAAGGTGCTGGTACTTACCTTTAAAGCCCTATATGGCCAGGGTCCGGCTTACCTGAGGGACCGCCTTTCCCCATTTATACCCCAGAGAGCACTACGGTCCGGGGCACAACAGCGTTTGACTATTCCAGGCCCCAAGGATGTGAGGCTCGCCGTTACCAGGGCCAGGGCCTTTTCGGTGGCGGCTCCTTACTGGTGGAATGAGCTCCCAGAGGAGATAAGGGCCCTGCGGGACCTTGTACAGTTCCGCAGGGCCTGCAAGACGGAGCTCTTCCGCCAGGCTTTCAAATAGGAGCCACCGCCACCACTGTTACCACCAACTATTCCATTGAACATCTGGAATATGGGACTGGCCCACTATGGACTACGCCATTTAATATCTGGACCATAGGACTGGCCGTAAGATCAGAAGATTGCCGGAATGGAAATTCACACCATCTATGTTAATACTGTGAGCACTTTAAATACTATTATTGTAATTTCGAGAATATTTAATACTATTTTAATGTTATGGTTTTATGCTAATTCAGCACACACTGTCGTCTTCTGAAAGCCGCCCAGAGCCTATTGACAGGGTGGGTGGGGTATGAATATAAGTATAAATAAAATAAATGGTCGCCAAGCCTCCACTTGAAAACCTCCAGCGAAGGAGCATCCACCACCTCCCGAGGCAGACTGTTCCACTGCTCAGCCACTCTTACAGTTAGGAAGTTTCTCCTGATATTGAGCCGGTAACGACTCCCTTGTAATTCCCACCCATTAGATCTAGTGTTGCAATCCGGAGCAAGAGAGAATAGACCTGCTCCATCTTCTACATCACAGCCCTTCAAATACTTGAAGACTGCAATCATGTCCCCTCTAAGCCTTCTCTTTCCCAGGCTAAACAGACCCAATTCTTTCAGCCTTTCCTCCTAAGACTTGGATTCCAACCCACTCAACGTCCTGGTTGCCCTCTTCTGGACACGCTCAAGCTTCTCAACATCCTTCCTAAAATGTGGTGCCCCAAACTGGACACAGGACTCCAGGTGAGGCCTCCAGTGTTCCCTCTAAGCTGAGTTAGTGTGAGCTAGCTCACAGTTTTTTAGCCTCTGGCTCACACATTTTTGTCTTCGCTCAGGAAGGAGGGCTCCAGAGCAAACTAATTTATGCAGTAGCCGAACTACTTGCTCACAACTTTAATGCCAGTAGCTCACAGAGTAGAATTTTTGCTCACAGGACTCCACATCTTACAGGGAGCCATGGGCCTGACCACAGCAGAATAGAGCGGAACGACCACCTCCAGTGATCTGGACACGAGGCTTCTGTTGATGCATCCTAAGATTGCATTAACCCATTAAGAATCATGTCCCCCCTCAGTCTCCTCTTCTCCGGACTAAACATTCCCAGGGCCCTTATAAGGCCTTTGCTCAGTCTCCAGCCCCCTGATCACCCTCGTCGCTCTCCTCTGCACCCTCTCGGTTTTGCCCACATCCTTCTCGTAGGGTTGCCAATCCCCTGGAATCCCAGCTCATTCCCAGACTCGAGATCAGTTCCGCTGGAGAAAATGGCCGCTCTGAAAGATGGACTGTATGAGATTATACCACGCTGAGGTCCCTCCAAGCCCCAAACGTTGCCCTCCCAAGGCTCCACCCCCAAAATCTCCAGGAATTCCCTAACCTGGAGTTGGCAAGCCTTCTTCTGAGTCTCAGAGTCTCAATATTTGGAGATGCTTGCTTCTGAATTAAAATTGGAGACACGCCAAATGCTTACATCCCGAAAGGTTTAATTTTAGAGTGTGTAGGGGTACGAGTTTGCCCATCCTCACTGAAGGCCACTGCCTATGGTTCAGTATGACTCCCTGTTCTGGGTGTTAACAGGCAAGCTCAGGTTTGCGACTCATCCAGAGATGCAACAGGTAGCCACCTCTGCAGACAAATAATTCTGCTGCGTCACTGCGCTGGCAATGAGTGGACAATCCAATCCTCCGGGCACAGATGTTTGGTCCACTCCAGCAAGGGCTGAGTGGAAGGAGGGAAGACCAGGGTAGAGACTCATGCAGGGAAGCGCTAGGCTGCCTCCTCTGAAGATTTGGTCTGAAATGAGCCCTACTTTTTTCCATGGCAGTTTTCTCTTAACATACTGCTTTCCCAGTTTGGGAATTGATGCTCATCAGGTCTAGAAACTTGCTTTAAAACGGAACATCACTGCTTTTTTGAATTCTGAAGCGGCCCCATTCCACAGTGCCGAATCGACCCCTTCCTTCCGTCAGCCGCCTTCCGAGTACCCTCGAAATGGCTTTCAGTCGAGCGGCTGATTTGGACAGCGCCGTTACAGAGAGGAAGCTGCAGACGCCCTGACCTTTCGGGAACGTTCCGTCTCTGCCTGGCCTCCCGGTTCCTAATTGAAGTCAGGAAGGGAAGGCCGGGCTGCCCTTTGCGACGTGGTAGTCGCTGGCTCTTTCCTTCATTCCGGCACAGGGAGAAAACGAACGAGCGTGGGAAGCGAGCCGGTGAAGGAGGGAAAAGGGCAGGCCGGAGGAGGCAGTTCCCACCTTCCCTTCGGCTTGCCGGAGGCACCTGTTCCTTCTCGTCAAATCCACTTGGGATATTCTGCCAAAGTCTCTCAGCTGAAGTTTGACCGCTGCTCTGCGGGAATCCAGAGCAACAGGACTTCTTGGGCCCAACTGGACTGCAAAATATCAGGGGACGGATCGTTCCCAAAAATTCTCTTTGGTTGCTCACCTCCGGGTGGGCGTCGCAATTTAGTCAACCACAATTTAATTGCTGTACTAATAAATTGCTGTTGGTGTAGCAACCTGAGTTGCAGCGTTAGGAGAGTCAAGTAACGGACAAATGTACACTGCAAGAAACGTTTGTGAATTAACGTGTTCTGTTTATAGCAATCATTCTATAAAGTGCATGGTGTGCTATGATAACATCCTTGTCAGGTACATACATTCAGTTCCTTCGGTTTAACAGCTACCAGTCGATTCTGCTTGACTTTTAAAATACTGATGCAAAATTGCATTTCTGATTCCTAACAGAATGTCAGAACCCACCGCTCACAACGAAGTACACGCATTCAGGAACGGTTATACTTTTATTGCAAAGCTATAGATGCAGTAACACAGGCACTGTTAGGAATGGCCACAGCCACTAGAGCCTAATAGGATATAGGGTATTCGTATGCACCCCCCCCCCCGCATGGGCCAATTAGGGACCCACCCGCGCGCGGGATAAGTCAGGCAACCGTTAGGTGGCTAAAGCTGAGGACCGAGAGTCTCTCACGGTACATAGGAGCCCTCCAGACACCACAACCTCCTCCTGCACATCTGTATAGATAAGCATTTCGGCAAAAAGCAGAGCAGCAGGGATAGGAATGCAATAACAATTAACAAGACACAGAATGAACTCCCCACCCCCCATGGCAACATAGCTGACATGTTACGCTCTATGGACCCACATCTCCTGGTTGTCCCCGGCCCAAAGGACATCCGTCTCGCCTCGAACGTGGCCAGGGCTTTCTTTGCCCTGGCCTCTGCCTGGTGGAACATGTCCCCAGTCGAGATCAGGGCCCTGCGGGATCTCCTTCAATTCTGCAGGGCCTGCCAGATGGAGCTGTTCCGCCAGGAGTTCGGTTGAGGCAGCGGACGTCTCTCTATGGCCTTCCTGGGGTGGTCGTCACCAGGGGTCATTTCTTGCAGGAGCGCACAGGAGCGGAGCTCCGGCAGTAAAGAGCCCAGGGGGCGGGCACATCCAACAAGCCCCACCCCCTGCTCCCAGCAGCCCTCAGTCAGAGCAAGAAGCAGCCAGGTAAGCTGCAGAGCCCCTCCCCCAGCTCCCCGGTCCAAAACAGTCCAGTGGCACCTTTAAGACCAGGGGTCGTTTCGTAGAAAAAGAGCTAGGGGGACTCATTAGCATAACTCATTAGCATATGCTACACCCCCTGACGTCACCGGAAGTGTGTCAGAAGGCCACGCACCCCGCCCCCAACGGTCCCGCCATCGCTGCCGGCCTTGCAGCTCCACTGCCGAGCCCCATGAGGGGCCCGGCGGTGGACCTGCAAGGCCGGCGGGAGTGCAAGGAAGCCCCGCGAAAGCCCCAGGCAGGCAGGGGTGGGGAGAGGCAGGGAGGAAGCAACTTACCCTCCCTCTTCTCCTGCCTCCTCCTGGCTGAATGAGGGCCGGAAGCGGGGCGGCCGGAAGCAGGGGGCGGGGCTTCGTCATGTGCGATCCCCCACGATCCCCCCCCCGAAATGACCTCTGACTTAAAATAAAAGTATGAGCTGAAATCACTGCGTCAGTATCAATACTTTTCACTGCTGCATGAATTACCGGTAGTTTGCTCTGGAGCCCTCCTTCCTGAGCGGAGGTAAAAATCTGTGAGCCGGAGGCTAAAAACCTGAACTAGCTCACACTAACTCAGCTTAGAGGGAACACTGTCCGGGACATCAGCTCCTTTGCCATACCTGAGCAGAGCAGGTACAGGGCAAACAGAGGTCCTTGCAAGACCCCGGCTCCTCAGGACATAACTTAATGGAGCTCCTTGCAAGACCCTCGCTCCTGTGGTAGCAAACACAGGCCACCGCGCCTGGGGCAGGAAACAGAGAGCTCCTCGCAACATCCTGACTCCTGGGGCAGTCAACAGAGAGCTCAGGGGTCATTTCCTGCAGGAGTGCACAGGAGCGGCGCTCCGGCAGTAAAGAGCCCAGGGGGCGGGCACATGCAACAAGCACCACCCCCTGCTCCCAGCAGCCCTCAGTCAGAGCAAGAAGCAGCCAGGTAAGTTGCAGAGTCCCCCCCCTCGCCCGCCCCCAGTCCAAAACAGTCCAGTGGCACCTTGAAGCCCAAGTTTTATTCAGGTCCAAGCTCTCCCTCCTCTGCGAGGACAGATCTGCGCGTTCCCCCCCCCCTCCAATAGCTAGCAATCCAAAGCAGTCCAGTGGTGCCTGAGCGGTAAGTGTTGCCTTCTGACACACTTCCGGTGATGTCAGGGGGTGTGGCATATGCAAATAAGCTATGCTAATGAGTTGTGCTAATGAGCTCCTGCACCTCTTTTTCTACAAAATGACCCCTGGTCAGCTCTTTGCTAGGCCCTGGCTTCTGGGGCAATCAACAGAGAGCTCCTTGCACGACCCCGGCTCCTGTGGCAACAAACCGGTCTCCTCCGGACAGTCCCCCTCTGGCAGCAAGACAGGATTTTGGTAGGTTTGCAATCGGCCATACCAGGAAGATCTCTGTAATCCCCCTTTAGCTGGTGGCAGCGACAAACACCGAGAGGCATTTGCTTTGAGGAAGAGGGCCGAAACGAAGGGGGCAAGCTGCTGAAACGAACAGCCGGCTTTTCTGACTCGGGTGACGGGGACCGAGCTGAGGCCTGGAAGGTCAAAGCGGCGGCACTCGAAGGCGACCCAGAAGCGAGGCCCACTGACCTCAGGACCACGGCTTGTTGTCAAACCCACCCTCGAGAGGAACGGGCTGGCTCTTGGGGGGGGGGGAAGCAAAGGGCCATTCCAAGAGATCTCGCCAGCCCTTTCAAGGGGCTCCCTTTGTGGGTCCGGACATCTGAGCTACCCTCCTGGCTGTTTCGAATTCTCATCGAGCTCCAGGCAGAGCTAAATATAATCCCTGCCCTCCGTTCCACCCCAGGCCGGGGCCTGCAAGCACACGGGGGTCCTGGCAGAGTCCCGGAAGAGTTCTCGCCCGCCACCGTCCTGGAGCACAGTTGGTCCCGAGAAACTCCTGGCATTGGACGGGACGGTGCACGGACATCTAGAAGATGGAGCAGATCTATTCTGTCTTGCTCCGGGTTGCAAGACTAGATCTAACAGGTGGAAATTACAAGGGAGTCGATACCGGCTAAATATCAGGAGAAACCTCCTAACTGTCAGGGTGGTTGAGCAGTGGAACAGTCTGCCTCGGGAGGTGGTGGACGGCTTCAAGAGGGAATTAGATAAGCATATGGAGCAGAGGTCCATCAGTGGCTATTAGCCACAAGGTATAGATAGGAACTCTGGGGCAAGTGATGCTCTGTCTTCTTGGTGCTTGGAGGGGGGGGCAACAGTGGGAGGGCTTCTAATGTCCTGGGCCCACTGCTGGACCTCCTGGTGTCACCTGGTATTTCTGGCCACTGTGTGTCACAGAGTGTTGGACTGGATGGGCCACTGGCCTGATCCAACATTGGCGTCTCTTATGTTCTTATGTTCTTATGCTAATAGCCACTGATGGACCTCTGCTCTTAACGTAAGGACATAAGAGAAGTCATAAGAACATGAGAGAAGCCAAGGTTGGATCAGTCCAAATGGCCCATCCAGTCTAACACTCTGTGTCACACAGTGGGCAAAAATACCAGGGGCCACCAGGAGGTCCAGCAGTGGGGCCAGAACTCCAGAAGCCCTCCCACTGTTGCCCCCCCCCCAAGCACCAAGAAGACAGAGCATCCCTTGCCCCAGACTGAGATACGTAAGGACATAAGAGAAGCCAATGTTGGATCAGGCCAGTAGCCCATCCAGTCCAACTCTCTGTGTCACACAGTGGCCAAAAATACCAGGGGCCATCAGGAGGTCCAGCAGTGGGGCCAGGAAGCCCTCCCACTGTTGCCCCCCCCCAAGCACCAAGAATACAGAGCATCCCTTGCCCCAGAGTCCCTGTCTATACCTGTCTATACCTTCTGGCTAACAGCCACTGATGGACGTCTGCTCTTAACATAAGAATGTAAGAGAAGCCAATGTTGAATCAGGCCAATGGCCCATCCAGTCCAACACTCTGTGACACACAGTGGCCAAAAATACCAGGTGCCCTCAGGAGGTCCAACAGTGGGGCCAGGACACTAGAAGCCCTCCCACCGTTGCCCCCCCCTCCCCCCAAGCACCAAGAAGACAGAGCATCCCTTGCCCCAGAGCCCCTATCTATCTTGTGGCTAATGGCCACTGATGGACCTCTGCTCATTCACCAGACCATGGTTTGTACAACTGTCAACCAACTTCAAACCACACCTCCTTGCTTCTGGTTTACTAGCCTCAGTGATTCGGGGTCCATTCAGAAACCATCTAATTCAATATGGTTTGATGCGACTCCTCACCTGACCCAGCTTGTAAACCGGGGCACACCTTCTCCCCTCTCTCACCCACCGAAGGAGCGATGGGACCAGTCGGCAGGGGTGCCAACCTCCCTGTGGGGCCTGGAGATCGCCCAGAATTGCAACTGATCTTCAGACGACGAAGATGAGAGAAAATGGCTGCTTTGGGAGGTGCTTCGGAAGGGGGACTATATGGCATTCTACCCTGCTGTGGCCCCTGCCCTCCCCAAACCCCTTCCCTGCAGTGACCTGGGGGGACACACGCTGCCCCGCGGAGCCCCGCATCCCAAACTGAGTCCTCCCACTGGGTTTCTTCCTGGAAGCCAGGTTGCCAAGTGACCAGGAGGGAAGCCAGCCTGGCCTGTCCTCTGCCTTCTTCAGCAGCTGGAGCTACATAAATCCATAGGGTTGCCAACCTCCAGGTGGGGACTGGAGATCCCCCGGGATTCCAACTGATCACCAGGCAACAAAAATCAATCCCCCCTGGAGGAAACAGCTGCTTTGGAAGGTGGACTCTGGGGCATTACATCCAGCAAAGTGCCCTTCCTGCCCAAATTACACCCTCTGCAGGCTCCGCCCCCCCCAAATCTCCAGAAATGTCACAACCCGGAGTTGGCAACTCTAAGAATTTGGCAACATGGGGAGAAACACAACCAGGGTTGTGTGACCCATGCAGCGGAGGCAGGTTGAACACTTGGCAACCCCACAGGCTGGAGGTGACAGACGGCCTCCAAGAGGAACGCAGGAGGCAGGGGTCATTTCCTGCAGGAGCACACAGGAACGGCGCTCCGGCAGTAAAGAGCCCAGGGGGCGGGCACATGCAACAAACCCCGCCCCCTGCTCCCAGCAGCCCTCAATCAGAGCAAGAAGCAGCCAGGTAAGCTGCAGAGCCCTCCCCGCCCCCCCGGTCCAAAACAGTCCAGTGGCACCTTTAAGACCAAGTTTTATTCAGGTACAAGCTCTCCCTCCTCTGCGAGGACAGATCTGCACGTCCCCCCCCCATTGGCTAGCGATCCAAAACAGTCCAGTGGAGCCTGAGCGGTGGGTGTTGCCTTCTGACACACTTCCAGTGATGTCAGGGGGCGTGGCATATGCAAATAAGTTATGCTAATGAGTTATGCTAAGGAGCTCCTGCACCTCTTTTTCTACGAAATGACCCCTGGTAGGAGGTACCAGGAGGTCCGGAAGGCTGTGCCCTTTGGGAAGGGTGACAAAGCCAAGCTCTTCCCGTTACCTTTCTTCTCGCCAGTGAAGGGCACCAGGTCTTCGCGCTCCTCCACCTCCAGCGCCTGCTTCTCCAGGTGTTGCATGAGGGCGTCCCGATCCAGCGGCCCCGTGGGGCTCTTCTTGGTCTGGTCTCGCTGGCGAAGCCCAGCTGGGAGCAAGACATTCTAGGGGGCGAAGCGGAATTGGGGAGAGGTGAGAGGGATGCTCTGGAGCATGAGCCTGCAGGCACCCTTAGCATTTCGAGAGGGGCTGGTGAGTGCCACTCCAAAATGGCTGCCACGGGAGGTGCAGCCAAGCCCAAAATGGCTGCCACAGGAGATGGAGCTAAGTCCGAAATGGCTGCCATAGGTGGTAGAGCCAAACCCAAAATGGCTGCCGCAGGTGGTGGAGCCAAACCTAAAATGGCTGCCACAGAGCCAAGCCCAAAACGGCTGCCACGGGAGGTGGAGCTAAGCCCAAAATGGACGCCACGGGAGGTGGAGCCAAACCCAAAATGGCTGCCAAATAAGGTGGAGCTAAGCCCAGAATGGCTGCCACATGCGGTGGAGCCAAACCAAAAATGGCTGCCACAGGAGGTGGAGCTAAACCCAAAATGACCGCCACGGGAGGTGGAGCCAAGCCCAAATTGGCTGCCAAAGTAGGTAGCACCAAGCCCAAAATGACTCTCCTCCCTCTGGGGTTGCCAGCCTCCAGGTGGGTCTAGTAACAAATAAATATACCCTGCAAAAACCTTTTAACAAACTTATGTGTTCTATTTATGGTCATCATTTAGTAAAGTGCAGAGTGTATCATTATTTCATCCAAGTCAGGTATAAATATTCATTACATTCAATAAGCAATAGCATTCAGTACATACAAATTTCTAACTACCAGACAATTTTGCATCAGTGTTTTAAAAGTCAAGCCCCAACGGGAGTTTCTAGACTTATAAACCCGCTTCTCCTTGCATGAAGTCTTCCAAAAAGGGGGACAGCCTTCTTAATACTTAATCATCTGGAATACTGTGTGCAATTCTGGTCACCACACCTTAAAAAGGATATTATAGCTTTAGAAAAAGTGCAGAAAAGGGCAACTCGAATGATAAAAGGGTTGGAACACTTTCCCTATGAGGAAAGGTTAAGGCGCTTAGGGCTCTTTAGCTTGGAGAAACGACGACTGAGGGGTGACATGATTGAGGTTTATACGATTATGCATGGGAAAGAGCAGGTAGAGAAAGAGGTACTTTTCTCCCTTTCTCACAATACAAGAACTCGTGGGCACTCCATGAAATTGCTGAGCGGTTGGGTTAGAACGGATAAAAGGAAGTCCTTCTTCACCCAAAGAGTGATTAACACTTGGAATCACCTGGTATTTCTGGCCACTGTGTGATACAGAGTGTTGGACTGGATGGGCCTTTGGCCTGATCCAACATTGGCATCTCTTACGTTCTTATGTTCTTAATAGTTGTATGGATGCTTTTTGCCGGTCCTACAAAAGACACATTGTGCAGCTAACATTCATGGACGGAGTACTCCTGTCATTTTCAACGCTGCATTGATACAAAATTGTCTGGTAGTTAGAAATCTATATGTACTGAATGTTATTGCTTATTGCATGTGTAGCGGGAATTCTGAGAGACAGACCACCCGGAGTCAGCAAGGAGAATCAACAGCTGTTTATTAAGCGTGCGGTACAGCCAAAAGCACCTCTCAGGGCACTTTCAAAACAGGGCGTGTACCCCGAATGCAGGTTTGAGCCGACTTAAATAGTATTTCAGCAGAGTACAGGGGGGAAATCATTTCTTAGAATTGGCATGCAAAGTTATCACAGACATTGACAATGAAGGCTGAAGCATAAATAGAGCCAGTTTGCTGTGAGAGCCAGTTTGGTGTTGTGGTTAAGTGTGCGGACTCTAATCTGGGAGAACCGGGTTTGATTCCCCACTCCTCCACTTGCACCTACTGATGTGACCTTGGGTCAGTCACAAGCTCTGGCACAGCTGTCCTTGAAAAAGAGCAGTTTGTGTCACTCAGCCCCACCCACCTCACAGGGTGTCTGTTGTGGGGAGGGGAAGGGAAAGGAGTTTGTAAGCCGCAAAGCAACGGTCACAAAATCATATTTTTATCTGGAAAATTTCTGTATCGCTTTTCGACCATGCCAAAAAAAAAAAAGGTCACCAAGCAAAAATAAGTAACGAGAGCTGAGTAAAACAAGAAATATTCAGTTAAAATGTTTTTAATCTCCTTTTTCCAGTAGATGTGCCCGAGAAAGTTTACAGCGCAAAAATTTTAAAGGTGAATCATTAAGTTATCATAAAACCAACCCCATAAAAACAATCAATACCATGGAAAAAATGTCAGAAATCAGCACCAATAAAAGCACACGGAGACCAGTAATATCAGTTCTCAAAGAAGTCTGGTGTAATACCAGAGGTCATTTCGGGGGGGATCGGGGGGGATCGCAGTTCCCCGGGGTGAGGTACGGGGGGTGGGGCACATGACGAAGCCCCGCCCCCTGCTTCCGGCGCCCTGCTTCCGGCCCTCATTCAGCCAGGAGGAGGCAGGAGAAGAGGGAGGGTAAGTTGCTTCCTCCCTGCCTCTCCCCACCCCTGCCTGCCTGGGGCCAGGGAGGGCCTTCGCGGGGCTTCCTTGCACTCCCGCCGGCCTTGCAGGTCCACCGCCGGGCCCCTCATTGGGCTCGGCAGTGGAGCTGCAAGGCTGGCGGCGGCGGCCGGGATTGTTGGGGGCGGTGTGTGTGGCCTTATGACACACTTCCGGTGATGTCTGGGGGTGTGGCCTTATGACACACTTCCGGTGATGTCAGGGGTGTGGCATATGCTAATGAGTTATGCTAATGAGTTCCCCTAGCTCTTTTTCTACGAAACGAACCCTGGCCTTATAATGCAAGCAAATTGCAGGTAAATGCTTTAAATGTGATGAATATATATACCTGGCTAAGATGAAATAATGACACACTATGCACTTTACTAAATGATGACCATAAATAGAACACATTAGTTTGTTAAAAGGTTTTTGCAGTGTATATTTATTTGTTACTAGACTCTCCTAACACTGCAGCTTGGGTTACTTCAGCCTCCAGGTGGGGCCTGGAGAGACCCCCTGGATTTACAGCTGATCTCCAGGCTGGAGAGATCGGTTCCCCTGGAGAAAAGGGCAGCTTTGGGGAGTGGACTCTCTGGCATTATACCCCACTGCGGTCCCTCCCCTAACCCAACTCCGCCTTTCGCAGGCTCCACCCCTGAACCTCCAGGAGCTTCCCGACATGGAGTCGGCCACCCCACCCACGGTGCCGCCACACCCGCCCCGGTCTCACTTCGGGATCCATTTCTTGCAGCTCCAAGTCCAACTGGGCCAGCTCCTCTGGCGAAAGCTCCTTTAGGATCTTGTCTTCATCGATATCTCGATACTTCTCCAGCTCCTTCTGGTAGGATGTCGTCATGGTGGTGGGAGTGGCTTATCCAAGCCTGGCAGGGCCCCGTCCGATGATGCCGAAACAAGAGTCTGGAACTTGGGAGGACACGGAGAAAGAAGGGTGAGCAGCCCTGGACCAGAAGACATCCCTGAGAACCGGCTGTAGTCTACAATGCTTCTTAACAGAACAGTAGAAAGGCTAAACTTAAATCCTCCGTCCATCAAGGTCAGCATTGTCTACTCGAACTCGCAGCAGCTCTCTCAGGTCTCAGGCAGAGGTCCTTCACATCACCCAGACCTTCTCGTGGAGCTGCTGGGAACTGAACCCGGGACCTTCTGTGTGCAAAGCAGGTGCTCTACCACTGAATTCCGGCCTCTTCCCAAACTCCTCCTATGGAAACTCCCAACACTGTGAGAGCAAACCAGTGGAACTCCCTGCCTCATGATTGTCTGAATGTTGCAAATTATAAACAGAAGCAACAACAGAGAGATTGAACATTGCAACCCGTCACATTCTTGCCACGGTGATCTGTATAAGCTATTTCTTTGTTGGTACACAAATATAGTAGAACAGGGGTAACATTAGGGTTACCAAACTCCAGGCGGGGCCTGGAGATCTCCTAGAATCACAACTGATCTCCAGAGTACAAAGATCAGTTACCCGGGAGGTAATGGCTGCTTTGGAGGGTGGACTCTATGGCATTGTACCATGCTGAGGCCCCTCCCCTCCCCTCCCCTCCCCTGGTTCCACTCCCAAATCTCCAAGTATTTCCCAACCTGGAACTAGCAATCAGGGCCGGCCCCAGCTCATCTTGCACCCTAGGCGAGGATCCCTTCTGGCGCCACCCCCCGTGCGCCCCCCAACAGCCAAGTTGACAACCAGAGGGCGCGAGGAGAGTCGCCAGGCTCCCCCCTCGTCAGGGCGCCTGGAGAAGAGGCTGACCAGCAGGGCACTCACAAGCTGTCGCTCCCCTGGCCCTCCTGCTGCTGCTGCTCCTGCTGCAGCTTCCAGTCCTCGGCAGCAAGGAAGAGGAGGAGGAGAAGCGCTTTGCAGGGAAGCCGAGGGGGCAGGCAGGGAGAAGTTAGTCACCACACCTTAAAAAGGATATTATAGCTTTGGAAAAAGTGCAGAAAAGGGCAACTCGAATGATAAAAGGGTTGGAACACTTTCCCTATGAGAAAAGGTTAAAGCGCTTAGGGCTCTTTAGCTTGGAGAAAAGACGACTGAGGGGTGACATGATCGAGGTTTATAAGATTATGCATGGGAAAGAGCAGGTAGAGAAAGAGGTACTTTTCTCCCTTTCTCACAATACAAGAACTCGTGGGCACTCCATGAAACTGCAGAGCGGTCGGGTTAGAATGGATAAAAGGAAGTACTTCTTCACCCAAAGAGTGATTAACACATGGAATTCACTGCCACAGGAAGTGGTGGGTGCTACAAGCATGGACGGCTTCAAAAGGGAATTAGATAAGCATATGGAGCAGAGGTCCATCAGTGGGTTTTCAGGAGATAAGATCACTGTATTGGATCAGTCCAAAGTTCCATCTAATCCAGGGTTCATTCATTGTAGTAAATTATACTTTATGTAATGATGAATTGGTGGGGGAAACTTCAGAACCAAGTGGCAGGAGATACATTCCCAGCAGCATAATCCTAGACAGGTTCATACACCTATAAGGCCCACTATGGGGAGGGAAGGTAACATGGTGTAGCCAAATTCTGTAAGATCTTGGAGGCTAACCAGGGTTTGTACTTGGGTGGGAGACCACCAAGGAAGGCCTTGCAGAGGAAGGCAATGGTAAACCACCCTTGCTTCTCTCTTGCCTGGTAAGCCCCTTGCTGGGGTCACCATAAGTCTAAGCTAAGCAGGGCTGGTACTTGGAAGGGAGACCACCAAGGAAGGCTCTGCAGAGGAAGGCCATGGCCAACCACCTCTGCTTCTCCCTTGCCTGGTAAGCCCCTTGCTGGGGTCACCGTAAGTCTAAGCTAAGTAGGGTCGGTAGCTGGAAGGGAGACCACCAAGGAAGGCTCTGCAGAGGAAGGCCATGGCCAACCACCTCTGCTTCTCCCTTGCCTCGAAATCCCCTTGTTGGGGTCGCCGTAAATCAGCCGTGACTTGATGGCATTTGACACCCATACACATCTGACAACGTACACTTTGACTCACAAAGGATTATACCCTGGAAAATACTGTTGGTCTTTATAGTGAGAGGGTTTTATGGAGAGAGATGACAAACAGAATTTTTTCTCCCTCTCCCAAAATACTAGAACTTGAAGGCAGAAGAAAAAGAAGAGGAGGAGGAGATTGGATTTATCCCCCGCCCTTCACTACCCGAAGGAGTCTCAGAACGGCTTACAAACTCCTTTCCCTTCCCCTCCCCACAAAAGGCACCCTGGGAGGGAGGCGGGGCTGAGAGAGCTCTTTCGAGGACGGCTCTTTGTCAAGAACAGCTGTGCCAGAACTAGGGCTTGCCCAAAGTCACACCAGCTGCTGCATGTGGAGGAGTGAGGAATCAAACCCGGCTCTCCCAGATTAGAGTCCGCGTACTTCACCACGACACCAAACTGGCTGATGGGCAGTAGGTTCAGGACAGACAAAATATTCATATTTATTTATTATTTCTATTTTTATCCTGCCTTGCCGGACACGCTGGCTCAAGGCGGCTAACAGAGTTAAAACAACATAAACAATACAGAGTTAAAACAATTAATAAACACAGTACCAAGTTAAAACAGCAACAGTTTAAAATAAAATTGACAGATGATGGCGACAATCCAATCACATACCCAATGATAGGAGTTGCATCCCGCAAGGTCTCAGGCCAGGAGATGTTCCAGGGCACATTCGTCAGTGGCGGCTCCTAATCGAAAGCCTGGTGGAAGAGCTCCGTTTTACAGGCCCTGCGGAACTGTACGAGGTCCTGCAGGGCCCTGATGTCCTCCGGGAGCTCATTCCACCAGGTTGGGGCCACCACTGAGAAGGCCCTGGCTCTGGTGATATTCAGCCTGGCTTCTTTCGCACCAGGGAGGGTCAAACAGTGTTGCGACCCTGACCTCAGTGCTCTCTGGGGCACATATGGGGAAAGGCGGTCCCTCAAGTAGGCAGGCCCCTGACCATATAGGGCTTTAAAGGTTAAAACCAGCACCTTGAACCGAATCCGGTATGCTATAGGCAGCCAGTGCAGCGTCCTCAACGCAGGCTGGATGTGGTCCCATATACAGAGACCCATCAACAGCCTGGCTGCGGCATTCTGCACTAGCTGCTGCCTCCGGATCAGGAACAAAGGCAGCCCCGTATAGAGAGGAGAGGAGGAGACTGGATTTATCCCCCGCCCTTCACTACCCAAAGGTGTCTCAGAGCAGTTTACAATCTCCTTTCCCTTCCCCTCCCCACAACAGACACCCTGTGAGGTGGGTGGGGCTGAGAGAGCTCTTGATAGAGCTGTCCTTGAGAGAATGGCTCTGACAGAACCAGGGGTCATTTGGGGGGGACGCGGGGGGACGCCATCCCCCCGGGTGAGGTGCGGGAGGGCGGGGCCTGGAGCTCCCTGCTGGTGCCCGCTGGAGGTCGCCGCCGGCTGTGGGGAGGACACACTTCCGGTGATGTCAGGGGGTGCGGCATATGCTAATGAGTTATGCTAATGAGTCCCCCTAGCTCTTTTTCTACGAAATGACCCCTGGACAGAACTATGGCTTGCCCAAGGTCATCCAGCGGGTGCATGTGGAGGAGTGGGGAATCAAACCCGGTTCTCCCAGATTAGAGTCCACGCACTTATCCACTACTCCAAACTGGTGTAGGAAATACTGCTTTACACAGAAAGTGGTTACAAAGTGGGATTCGCTATCAGAGGATGTAGTGATGGTCACAGGAATAAACAGGGGGATGAGATAGATTCATGGAGGATACGTCTATCAATGGATGCTAGCCATGGTGACTATGGGGAACCTCCACATTCAGAGGCACTTAACCTCTGGATCCCAGAGCCAGGAGGCAACATCAGTGGAAGGCCTCGGCCTCTATGCCCTGTTGTTGGCCCTCCAGAGGAAATGATTGCCCAGTGTGTGAGACAGGATGCTGGACTGGATGGACCCTCCCTGGTCTGATCCAGCAGGGCTCTTCTGAGGCGCTTCTCAGGGGAAGGCCTCGGCCTCTCTGCGCTGTTGTTCCTCTAGACTGGCTGGCCCCTGCGTGACACGGGAGGCTGGACTGGAGGGACCCTCCCTGGTCTGACCCAGCAGGGCTCTTCTGATGTCCTTATCAGGGGAAGGCCTCGGCCTCTCTGCCCTGCTGTTGGCCCTCCAGAGGAACTGGTTGGCCGCTGTGTGAGGCAGGATGCTGGACTGGATGGACCCTCACTGATCTGACCCAGCAGGGCTCTTCTGAGGCTCTCCTCAGGGGAAAGGCCTCGGCCTCCCTGCCCTGTTGCTGGCCCTCCAGAGGGACTGGCTGGCCCCTGTGTGGGACAGGAAGCTGGAGTGGATGGACCCTCCCTGGTCTGACCCAGCAGGGCTCTTCTGAGGTTCTGATGGTGCCACTGGACGCGAATTCCATTTTCACAGATTGGTCTCTATTGTTTATTATGGTGTCTCTGAGTGTTCTGCCTCTTCTGGAACCTTCCACCACTGTCATTTAGTTTATTCTAAATCTTATTTTATTTTATTTACATTATTTATAATCCGCCTTTCTCACCAAGACTCAAGGTGGATTACGCAGGATGGGACATTCAATGAATAATAAAACGAGATTCAGACTATAGAAGTCCAGAACCTACCAGAACTCTAAAAACATAAGAACATCAGAAGAGCCCTGCTGGGTCAGACCAGGGAGGGTCCCTCTAGTCCAGCCTCCCGTCTCACACAGGGGCCAGCCAGTTCCTCTGGAGGGCCAACAACAGGGCAGGGAGGCCGAGGCCTTCCCCTGAGAAGGACCTCAGAAGAGCCCTGCTGGGTCAGACCAGGGAGGGTCCCTCTAGTCCAGCCTCCCGTCTCACACAGGGGCCAGCCAGTTCCTCTGGAGGGCCAACAACAGGGCAGGGAGGCCGAGGCCTTCCCCTGAGAAGGACCTCAGAAGAGCCCTGCTGGGTCAGACCAGGGA